TTCATTCGCTTACTATTTTCTAGTTACTGCTAACGCATCTTTCCATGCTGTGTTACGTATTATGCAGTTTATCAACAGTTTTCAGATGGCTTAAAGTTAACACTTCGAATCTATAGCTTAGCACTGGAAGCATGCACTGGTCGAAAACTTTCCGTTTTAAGCAAAAAGTTAATTTATTTTTCCGATAGGAATACTGTCCCTAAACTCTTTGCCGTTTATGCTTTTCTGTTGAATTTATATAAACGATTCTCCGTGGCTGAGATACACCTAGATGTAATTTTTCACCTCTTCAAGCATAAGCTTACTGACTAAAACAGGTCCGGAGATTTGTTAAACATGACCTGAGTATTTTTCAGGTTCATTTTCAGTCTTACAGACTCTTGAAATTTTGTTGGAGATCTTCTGATGACCTTAAGGTCAGAATATCGTGCGCAAACCACAGGTAGTGACTTAGGCAGTGCCCATTTATCCCCAGTCCCAGATTTTCTCAACCGAGACTTTTGAAAATCTGTACTAAAACTGTTGTGAATGACTTTGATTATACTGAGCCCTTCCCAGTGGAACGCCCTTTTCGATTTTGACCTTGTTTATGCCTTACTGAAGCTTCAAAACTGGAGCTGCATTCTTATAAATCATGGAGATGACGTTTATGTAGCATTTCTCGATTCTTGGCCTCCTCAAACAACTCAATACAAAACAAATGGGAATCAGTCGGAGGTCTTCTCGAAACTGAGGAACCGTAGGAAGAGAGAAAGTTTATATTCGCTGTTTGTCTGAATTACTTGTTATATCACTAGAAGACAGTCCATCGAACTAAAACTACTTCTGAATCCTGCCAGTTGCTTTGGCTGTGCCTAGTTCACTTTGTCTCAAGATTGTTGACCTGAAGACTTGAAGTCTGTTCATCAGTATTTTCGTCATCTTCTACATGGTTGGCAACAAACTGATCGGCCGGTGGCTCTTAAAATCTTCTCTGCATTCCTTCTGGTAAAGTAGAACTACTTACGTGGTAGGTCAATCATCAAGACTTCTCAGATCCTTCAGAAAGTGTTCACAAATATTATGCGTGCTAACTTCAAACGAATAAGCCACTTGAAATTAAAGCGTTAAATAGGAATGTCTTTTTGGTACTAAAGCTGCTTTTTAGTTTGCCTTCAAGTTCGATCTTGCTAAATAATTGTACAGTTTGAGGTCCAGCAGCGCACCCCCCTATGTCGGTTATTTCTGGCTGATCCAGAAATACCTGAATATTCTGACCGTCCATTCTCCATACGGGCGCCTGAGCAGGCAAGGCCCTGGGCGCCAGACACTTACCTCTTCAGCCAGTCTTCCTGATCACGTCTTTTTCACAACATATTCAACATTTTGGTGGGTCACCGTCGGTTTACACTAACGCTTAGTAGTCATTATGGCTTACCAAGCCAATATTGGACAAACTTATTACTGACTGACAGTTTCATTGTTCAAGTATTGACCAACCGCAGACCAACAGTAACATTATTCATAATCTTTGGTTACCAGCAGGATGCAAAATTCTCCATTCAGAAAACGTATCATCGCCCTAATAATTTGCTGCCTTGAATAATGAAATGGAGAGGAATAATCGTTATTCAAACAACCAACGAATCGATATTTTCTTAAATAATTAAAAACATGAAACTAGTTTGAACTTTTCATGGTTTATCGAAAATTTGGCAACATATAAATCGCCTGCATGAAAAATCGACTTTGTAAGTGTTAAGTATGGCACATGCTGAAAATGAATCTACGTACTGGACTGCGTCGTATCCCTGACAGATGGAGATGCCGAGGGTGAAGCGATTAGCGGTAAACGGACATTCAGCAATGTACTTGGTGACGATGTTTCCGCCCATGCTGAAGCCGATCAGGATCAGTTTGGTGTCCGGATGCAGAGCCATCAGTTTGGAGACCATTGCCGCATACTCTGCCGTCCCGCCGTACGTGAACAAACGCGAAGACGTCACCTGCACGTTGTTCAGCGTGCCGATGTGGTTCAACGCGGCGCATCGAAAGCCGGAATGACAGGCGAGCCACACGCACGACCGAATGTACGTGTTCTCGGAAGAGTTGCAGATGCCAGGACATAGCGCCAGTGTTACATCACCTAAATCTAAACCTTCACTCTGGTCGCAATTTTCACAACAATACGTGAACATTCAAAATTTAGGATTTCAACAGAGCCACAGTTATCCTTCTCTGCCTTTAAATGTAAGGCACTCCTGCCTGATGGCTAGGAAATAGAGATTAATAACGCCCCACCATTACATAAGTACCAGAAGTCGAAATAGTGTCTTTTCAATGCACAAAAACCATATTTAAAAAAGGAACACCGTGTTGGGTTCAAAAAGCGATGCTGCCCTAAACAGTTATTCCAGGTTATGAGTCTTTGTTACGGATGCGTCATAAACGCAAGTCGACGCTATTTCGGAATTTTTATTACCCACTTTCTGCCTCCACCGTTGGCCAGATAATTTTGCCATTTAATCGCCCAATTCATCAGCAGTAGTAGTAGTTCAGACAATGGCGGAGGATCGTGAGTGGTGGCAACATCATTTGATGCAGCTATATCAGCGACCAAAAAGAATGATCGGCATCTGAAAATGACTCACTGACAAAGACTGACAGATCTCCTGATAGTACGACAAATTCGCTTAAAAGAAAAACATCTTAAACGAGAAACACTGATGGGCTACCAAAAGCAATAAAATTTCGAATCAGCAGCATCTCCCTTAGCACTTCTGCTAAGAAGGACATTGACTACTGACCCAGAAGAAAAAAGTATAGGACATCGTCGAATTAATCCCTGACTAAAACACGGTGAAAAGTTTTCGCGGTGGTGCCTGCTCCAAAAATCGGAAAATCCTTAGGGGAAACGATGGAAGAATCCCATAGAGCTTGGTGAATGACTTCCAACAGCAGCATGCTTCGCTACAGTCACACACTCTGAAATCACGCGGTGATGTTGTTCAAAACAGTAAGTTCATATTTTCATCACCCTGAATGGAAGGGGAACCCACAACTGTCAACCTGCCGAAGGAAAAATGACTCTAGGTGCCTCTGAAAATCAGATATAACAAATTTGTCGAACAGCCATTATGGCCACTATTTAGTAATGCATTCCTAAATATACGTATTGTGAGGAAAGCTGGTAACTCCGTCGTTGCCGGACCCAAGCCCGGTTGACAAAGAAGGAGGGTAGGAGACCGTGGCGAAAGTCTCCGCAAAAGTTCGCCACCGCCCACTCATGGTATTGACGTCATCGGAAACTGTACCGGCTCGGTCGTCGGCTGGATAACCAAGGGCCGCGCAGGCTGTTGTAGAACTGAGGCAGACTGCGAAAAGCCGGCGATCAAAACCTACTCATCGCCCTCTGCCAGCCGGGGCGTAGCGGCACAACGAAGAAGACCGACGGAACGACCACGAAGATACCAGTCAGCAACGGAGTCGCTACCCGTTCTGAACGGAGGAGGCAGACAGCGAGATGCCATT